ACAGAGGTGTTTATGATCAGTGGCTTTGAGCGAGCCTGAATGACCTCCTCTGTCCCCCTCCACAGTGCATCCTGCGGTGGTGATACGGCAGCGGAAGTCGTATCGGCGAAAAGACGGCGTGTTTCTCTACTTTGAAGACAACGCAGGTGTCATAGTAAACAACAAAGGAGAAATGAAAGGTGGGTCTGTGTGGATGCTACATGTTTGTCATCAGTCAGCGGTGCAACGTGTCCAGCTAACAGTAGCTTTGTATTGCTGTGTGGTTTCCTCAAGCACAGAGCTGAGACATTTGTCTGGAGGCTTTTTTAGGTGTTTTTTTTATTCTCACAGCCTCAGGAGCAAAGTTGTTGAGATTTTGCCTCCAGCACTTTGTTTTATAGGTCAATGGGATTTCAGGTTTATCGACAGTCGCGTTCCTTTACAAAACCGTTAAAACCATTTACAAACTTTACTTCGGTGCTGCTGTAGGTTCTGAACACGTTTCCCCTTCAAAAAGCACTTGCTTTGTCTGCTCAGTGGCCGGGTGAGTTGTCGTAGAAGGGAATATGGAGCTCATCACTGTGGGTGAGACGGCAGCGACGCACCGTGGCTGACTGATCTCAATCAGGGATGAAACAACTTTGACTGAGTGTCTTTGAGTTGATTTGATGGATAATTAACACCACTTGAATCATGTCACTATGCCACATTTTTACACTCTTCTCTATTATTATTATGCTGTAGTTTGAATGTTGCTTTATTCCTCATTCATTCAACTGTCTTTGTAAAATAAAGCAGTGTTTGGACTATAAACAACTCTTCTTTCCTTGTCTGTATCTGCAGGTTCAGCCATCACAGGCCCGGTGGCCAAAGAGTGCGCTGACCTGTGGCCCAGGATCGCCTCCAACGCTGGCAGCATAGCCTGAGCTGGACCCTGCACCCGTTTGTTTTCAATAAAAACTGTTGTTGATCAAACTGCATGTCTTGGTTGTTTCATTGATGTTCTTGTGGAGGAAATGAAAAGAGCTTGTTAGATAGGATTCTTTCTAATACGTGTGTCTGTTAACCTGAACAACAATCACTTTCACAGCAGTTGGACGAGTACTGCTGCACCTGGTGCTCAGTTTTAAAGCCACTCTGATGTATGCATTTCCTCAGAACAACCACTAGGGGGTGCAATGAAACCTGACGAGACGTGGGCCAAGTGCGATCATCTGCCACGGCTTTATTTCACAACCTGCAGTTCACAGACACCACACTGTATTCTGATCAGTTATTGGACAGTAACTGGAGATACAACATGGACGGTGAAGAGGGAGGGCGTTGAGGTAAACATTAAGACTTCAGTGAGACAAACTAGTAAATATGATAAACCTGAGTACTGTTAAATACTGCCCTGCAGAGCCACCACATAGGAACTCTTAGAAAGCAAACACAAGAAGAGAAAATAGAGATGGAGGGCGTTTCTAGTTAAAAGCATGTCGACTACACACAGTCTGGCAATCAGAGCTTTGACCTGTGAGTTTATAAGAAAAGCAAAGAGGCCCCGTTGCAGGAGCGTGGCGCTAACAGGAGTTCGACTAACATGTACAGTATACAGCAGGGATGACGTGTTAATTGGCATGCACTACATACACATATACCATCTGTTAGTCCAGGTAGTGTGTGGATGTGTTTATCTGCTCACACAGTGGCTTTGAGCTCTTGTGTCTGGTCTGCCGGGACATCCCTGGCCTCTCTCTGCCTACAGACGGAGATCAGCAGGACTGTGGAGAGAAACCAAGCAACCATCTGCATCCAACATGTGTTTCCCCTCTTGTCGCCGATGCCTCCATCTCCCCACACCCTGGCGTCAGCTTCGTCCATGTTCCCCTGTGGAACGACGGGAGGTAGGTGGATAGACTGTAGATTTGTGCAGGAGCTAAGAAATAAAAATACATTTTCCTAAACCGTGCAGAGAAAATGTGGCCACACCAGAATCAAGGTTTGGAAACAGACCCACAACCAAGATGCTCCTAATCTGTGCACAAGTGTGTCCTCATGTAGTCAGAGTGTCTGCAGGTTTGACAAAAGAAAATTGCTTGAAAGTGTTTGGTTGAATGAACATCTGTCTAAATCCTGTCCAGACCCACCTGCTGCAGCAGAGCCACACTACGGAGATCACACAAATACCATCGGACACAATACAAAACATTCAACTGTACGCTCTTAATTTGATCGCAGGCCTAAAACATTTGTAGTAGTATGATTGATCAGATCGGTTAGCTGAGTTGTTGACTGGTTTGTTAACAGGTAACAGTGTAAAGCTCCTTTGAAACGAGGTGAGTTAATTACATTGGAGTTGGTGAAGTCAGAAACTTCTGTTGAACAGTACCAGTCTAGAGTTTGGACACACCTGTTCATTTGCAGGTTTTTCCTCATTTTTACTACTTTCTAAGGTGTAGGAGAACATCAAGACTATGAATCAGGGAAACATGTAGTAAGTGTTAATCAAAGCAAAATACCTTTCATGTGTTAGACACCTCAAAGTAGCTCCTGTTTGCCTCAAAACAGCGCACTATTGGCAATGTAAGATGGAATTAAACAGTTCCATGATTGTTCCTGTTAAGTGCACGTAGAGCGCAGCCCAGTCACGAGCATTAACTGGACTCCATGTAACATCCCACATTGGAAGCTGTGCTATATGCATTTAGTGACCTCTGGTAGGTGTGTATTTGTGATTTCTATGGATCTCAAATTACAGCAGCCCAGTTTAAACCAAGCTTCGTGTCCAAGATCATCACTGGTGATGAGTCTGAAGCTACGATCTAGAGACCAAACAGCAGTTTTTGCAGCAGATGAGCCTGAAGTCTCCAAAACCAGAGAAGGCGTGTCAGGTCAGAAGTGCACCAAAAGCATGCTGGTTGGTTACTGTGACGTTCACGAGGAAGTTGTCCCTTATGGACGGACTGTCTGCATTGGGTTTGACTGTAAGATCCTGAGGAAGAACATTTGGTTCATCCATCCATCCATCCATTATCTATACACCGCTCAATCCTCTTTAGGGTCGCGGGGGGCTGGAGTCTATCCCAGCTGACACCCTGGACAGGTCGCCAGTCTATCACAGGGCTACACTTAGAGACAGACACCAACTAACCTCAACATGTTTTTGGATCTTCTGGTAGGAAGCCGGAGAACCCGGAGAGAACCCACACTGCACGGGGAGAACATGGAGACTCTACGGGTGTCCTCACCAGGACACAAACCGGCGACCTTCTAACTGCGAGGCGACTGTGCTAACTACCGATCCACATACTTACATATGTTTGTAAGATCAAGTGCACATCTGTGATTTTTCCATAAACCTGAAACTGGACAGAGAAGAAAACATCACGTTCTGTGTCAGCAGCCAGAATGACTCAATCTTCATGTTGAGGATCGTCACCGGTGACAAGAGACGATGCCACAGCTACCACCAAGAGAAGAAACAACAGCTTTTACAACAGAAGAGACAGCGATTCTAAAACCAGACAAAGCACATCAGGTCAGAGGTTCACCAAAAATAACACTTGTTTCCTCCAACATTCACAGGATTCTACACCGTGAATGTCCCCCACGGTCAGACTGTCCATGCAGAGTTTGACTTGAAGATCCAAAGGAAGAACAACCTGAACAGTCACGCCATGGTCCTCTGAGTCACAGTGTGGTTATGATACATGTGTTTTGGCCATAACACAATAGGGGAACTCTACCTGCCCTACTCACTAGATTTGGATCCCTGTGGCTTCTTCCTCTACCCCAAAATGAAGCTCAGGTTATAGGGGTCACTGCATGAGTTGCCGATGGTGCTTGAAGCAATTTACAAGTTTCACAAGCCTGGCGGGAAAGTAATGTTGCCCAAGACAACTACTTTGACAGGGATGGTGGCCAAATTTAAAGCAGGTGTGTTTTTTTGCTTTTGTAGACACAGTCTTGAAATGTTTTGATTGCACCTTGTGTCTGGGAAGGGTTTTCAGTTACCAGGTAAGCCATGCCAGAGCTCAGGCTTCAGACACATCTCAACATCAACTGCTGGGAGGAGACTGAATCAGGCCTTCATGCTGCAAAGAAACCACTACTGAGGGAGACGAAGATGAAGAAGAGAACTGCTTGGACTGAAAAGCATGAGAAATGGAAATCAGATCAGTGGATACTGGAGTTTGGTCTGATGAGTCCAAATGTGAGATATTTGGTTGCATCCGCTGTGTCGTTATGAGATGTAGAGAAAGTAAATGGATGGCAACACGGAAATGCCTCAGAGTGGAGCTGTGGAGGTCGTGCAGGGGCGCTAATCTCCAACGTAGGAAATAGTAAAAATGAAGAAAAACCATTCAATGAGTCGGTGCGTCCAAACCTTTGAAAAGGCCAAACTGCTCTGAAGTATCTCAGTGGTTGTGTTGAGCATAAATGCGCAGGTTGAGCAATACTACACTGAGGGTAGCATTCTTGTCATAGTTCCTGAAACTAAAACAAACTCAGCTTGGTTAACATCTGCACAAACCTTTGTCTGTCTAGAACTGCTTCTTAACCGGTTCCGTTCTGGGACCTTAGAACCCGCTCACCACCTAAACGTACCTGCTGGCATTTTCAGCAAATTGTAGAGGGACTGCGGTGTCACCAAAACAATGGACTTGTGTCACATTGTTTACCTGTAAGTTTGCAAATATTGAGCTTCGTGGATGTGGTCAAATTGACTTTTAAATAAGATCCACCCACTCATGACAGCGGAACAGTTCCGACTTACGCTACTGGTATTTTCTGGTTCCCAAAGACCACGAACGTTTTGGCTTCCAACAAGTTTACTTTTGGTGGTCAGAACAGGTGTAAATGATGTTAGGGAACCAGAACCGAACCGGTTACTCATCGGTAAGTGAGCTGGATGATTCTCAACAACACATTAGTCGTGGTCCGGTGCTCTGAAAACTGTCTGTTGATGAAGTTGATTTGTACCTGAAGAGCGGCTTTGCCTCTATGAGACATCAACCTTAAAAAAAAAACCCTATTCATGGTATCAAATCTAGCCTGGGAATATATGGTCTCCCCCCTCTCCCTCTGGTGTTCTCGTCCCCGGGGGGCTCCGTGCGGGGGTTCACCGTCGGGCTGGGCTGGGGGCGCTGTTCGCAGGTGGCCTGAGGGTGGGTGTGCCACGTCCCGTCCCGGTAGGTGCAGTAGCAGACTGTTCGCTCGTCCATGTTGACACGCTCCCCTGCCGGGATCACCCTGTTACCAGCAAAGCAGTTGGGACCTTAAGGGACAAGAAAGACACATGTTGACATCTGTTCTCTCTTTAAGCAGTGTTTCCATTGTGGAAGACGTGGCCCTCTGTGATTGGGGCTTATGATTTATGTTATAGTAAGTTGACAACTTGCGTAGAGCTGTTGGGTTTAGGGTTACAGGGCAACCAGCGTCACCACAACACCAAAGTTTGACATTTTGAAAAGTACATTTATTCACATCTTTGGCACAAGTTAGATGAGAAAGGTCTATACCACTCTCATGTCCATCCATTATCTATACACCACTTAATCCTCACTAGGGTCGTGGGGGGCTGGAGTCTATCCCAGCTGACTCAGGGCGAAGGCAGGGGACACCCTGGACAGGTCACCAGTCTATCACAGGGCCACACTTAGAGACAGACAACCAAGCACACTCACATTCACACCTACGGACAATTTAGAATCACCAATTAACCTCAACATGTTTTTAGACCTTGTGGGAGGAAGCTGGAGAACCCGGAGAGAACCCACACTGCATGGGAAGAACATGCAAACTCCACGCAGAAAGATCCCGGGTGTCCTCACCGGGACGCAAACCAGCGATCTTCTAGCTGTGAGGCAACAGTGCTAACCACCGCTCCACCTTGCAGCCTCCACTCTCATGTCTGCATGGTACATCTGTAGCTGGAGTCAACAACTGGTTAGCTTAGCATAGAGACTGTAAACAATGGACTGGTATGTATACGCTTAACTCTGCTTACATGCTTTTCAAAGGTTTGCTACATAACGCTTCTTATCATTGCTTTTTAACAGCTACAAAATGGGTTTATACAGAATGTGTAGCGTGCAATTTATAGTAGTAGTTTTTTGTAGAGGCCCATGGTGCTAAACATTAGCATGTTTGCATTGTCAGTGTGAGCATGCTGTGCCGACATTAGCACCAAAGTCAAAGCACTGCTGCTGCTCTGTTAAATTTTGCCTCACAGAGCTGCTCAGCAAGTCCCTTACGCTTTGCAGAGCACTTTAGCGTCTTCCAGCTCATTGTTTGGCATTAAATCCAGCAACTTAGCTACAAAGCTAAACAAAGTTGGCAAGTAGCTGCTAAACATTGACAGCATTTCACCGCTAGAGTCTGATTGTTCCCTCAGGAGTTGTTAGAAACCAAAAGAACAGCTCCAAAGAGCGAAAATGTTGGGTTTACACCAGTCGGGTGGCCAGAAACACAACACAACACAACACAACACAACACAACATGGACGCTAGCTAAGCCACTAGCCGCTGCACATGCTCACTCGAATTTCCCCACCGACCCCACCACATGTTCCTGTTCTGTTTTCTAGACCTTGACACATTTTTCAGTGTCCGTTTTATAACAGAATAAAAAAAAAACTACATTTTGATCTGTAAGGATTTTGTTGTTGTTGTAATACCAGTAGTTGTGTTTACAGCTTGTTTCTGCTGCCCTCAAGTGGCCCAAATGTCAACGAAATGCAGCTTTAAATAAGGATAGGTATGGGAAAAAAAGTGCCTCTCTCCTTTGTTAGCAATGCTAACAAAACATTTGGTTAAAGTTAATCCTTTGAGTTGTGTTTGATATTGATTTAAGCAGAAGTATTTATAGAGAAACATGGACAAAACTTTCATGTGAGGTCAAATGAAAACCCCCAAAAGATCCTTCTAGACCATTTCCTAGCAGCTTGTCCTTATAATATATCTGATACTTTCAGGAAAGCTGTACATACTGGATATAATGATTAGCATGCAAGCAAAAAAAAAAATGTAAACAGCCCTATTTTTAATATCATTTGCATCCCTCTTTCACAGATGGGGGTTCCTTTATTTGGCAGCTACCTGCAAAACAATTACCAACAGCAGTCAGCGGGAGCACAGGAAGTACAGATCCTCATGCCAGATCTGACCGCGACCGATAAAACACAGCTGACGTGAGGGAATTTGGCAGCGGTGAGGAAAAAGGAAGAAAAAAAAAACCACCCAAAAACAATGACGCAATAAACCAAACCATCTGTCCCACTGTCTGTCCAGCAGAGGAGCGGTAAAAATAGAAGGTGCAACTTGACTACAACTGCCACAAAACAGCAAGGCCACTGGAAACCTGTTAAAGGGTCAAAGAATCAATTAAATAAGGTTCGCTGACCACTTTTTTCCACAACTAAAGCAGCATGTAATAGCAAAGTTATTATTATCCCTGCTGCAACACACACACACCAATGTTTGAAAGTGGCTTTAATGCCGGTGGAAATGAAAGCATGCGTGACATAACAGCGATGGCTCTGTAAGCTGCAGGGTGTGCGAGGTGACATAACCAGTGCTGCTTCCGATAGCTGCAGGATGAACACACACTGCCACAATGACAGCTTTACCTAATGATGCGCACAGCATACACAGGGGGAATGAGATTAAGTGTGTGTGTGTGTGTGTTGTGGAGTAAGCCGGTGAGATGGGCCATGACAGCACATGTAGTTGTGTTTTTCTGCAGCAGCACAGCATGACCGCTCATTTTGACCTGAATAATACATGTGGACGATAAAAGATCAGTGTACAACGCATGGGCTCAAAAGTTGTGTGAGATTCTCATGCTTGTTGTCAAACTACTTCATTTGCTTTTTTTTTTTTGTTTCACCCAAAATCTGAGGCTTTAAGCTGCTTCACTTTTTGTGTTGTAGATTTTATTATAAGTGTGGATAAACCCGCAATACAATTACTAATAATGTGACATATTCAGACCAATAATTCACTAGTTTGTAGAAGCTCCTTTGGCATCGTTTACAGCCTTGAGTCTTCCTGGATAACTCTCGACAGGCTTTGCACACCTGCGTGCTGGCGGTTTATCCCATTCTTGTTGGCAGATCCTCTCAAGCTCCATCATACTGAAAGGGAAGCATCTGTGAACTGCCATCTTTAGGTCTCTCCGTAGACTTCTTCGTGGGATTTCAGTCTGGGCTTTGGCTAAGCCACTCCAAGGCAGTCAGAGAGACAAGTCTAGTTGTTGTCTTGGCTGTAGCTTCATGTACTTCTCTGTATTTGACAGCATTCATCCATCCCTGAGTTCTAAAGTCTCCAAGTCTGTGCTGCTTTGAAGCACCACGTCACATGATGCTGCCACCGCCGTGCTTCACCACAGGGGCGGTATGAGCAAGTATTAGCTTGTGTTAAACAGACATGGAGCTCGGAGTTCTCCCCCAAAGTGTTCAGTTTTTGTCGCATAAAATAAATCTTTTTTTATCTTTTACTCCTGGTTGTTTCAAATTTCTTCCACTTCACAATTAGAGAGGCCACTGTACTAGTAGAAATTGTCTCCTCACCCTGATCTTTGTCCTTCCACGGTTTTATTGTGGAGGTCAGTTTTACTATTTCAAGTGTCGAGAACAAAATTCAGTGTAGAGAAAGTAAATGTGTCTGAATACACTATACTGTAGTCTGTTTGAAGTGATTTGTTACAAAACGCAGGAGTACAAAAATGCTTTTATTGTCCATTTATAGCCAGTTTGCTGACAAAAAAAAGTCACCTCGATTCAATTAAATGTCCATAACATAGAGGAGCTACATGCAATACGTCTGATTACTATTGATATTTATACTGAAATCAGCGCTTACATTTAAAAAATATATTTATTTACAATTGAATAGATTTAAATATGCAATTTAGTTTAATAATTTACTCCTCAAGTTGCAGGAATCAATCTGCATTCAGTGAATACTAAAGGTGTGTGTGGGATTTAGTGACAAAAATCTACAGTGTGTGTGTTCCTGGCTGTGAAGGAAAACATCACCTCGCTGGCTTTTATAGTTCTTAGAGATCAGAACAGTTTCCTGCCATGTTTGCATGAATGAGATCAGCATGTTTTAACATTTGCTGCATGTGGGGCTCAGTCTTACCCGTCTTACAGATGGGGCAGCAGTGGTTGGGTTCGTAGGTGGGGTTGACGCAGTGTGGGGCCGGGCAGTCCGAAATGCTGCAGTACACCTCCCTGTTGGCCTCGCAGCGGCATCGCTCGCATCTGGACAGCTGAAACGCACAATCAGTTCGAACGTCATTGGCTTCGAGTCTTTACATGCGGGGAGATGAGCTGTCAGTCTTGTCTCATTTGGTGAAGACGACCTGTGGGCTGATGTGTAACTAGACCACAGCTCATCTGGTTCTAGTGGTACCAGTACTGGTTGGCTGCACCATCACAAAACACAGGTGATGCATTGAAGCCACGACTATCAGTGACACCACGCTGTTGTAACACATGGACATGACTTGTTGGCCACTTGAGGACAATGTAAATCACCTGTGAATAGAACACTGACTATGCTACTGATGAGAGCTGTTAGAGTGAACCAAAACAAACCAAAACAAAACTATGAAGCTGCTCTGTAAAGATCAAAACAATGAGCTTTAAGAGGCTAACATGCACAGCTGAGCTATAATTATCTGTGAGTTTGCTACCATAAAGAACTGCTTTCACATTACGCTGTCAACCATCCATTATCTATACACACCGCTTAATCCTCTCTAGGGTCGCAGTGAGGCTGGAGTCAATCCCAGCTGACTCAGGGGGAAGGCAGGGGACACCCTGGACAGGTCGCCAGTCTATCACAGGGTGACAAACAACCAAGCGCACTCACATTCACACCTACGGACAATTTAGAATCACCAATTAACCTCAGCATGTTCTTGGACTGTGTAGGAGGAAGCTGGAGAACCCGGAGACAACCCATGCTGCACGGGGAGAACATGGAGACTCCACGCAGAAGGATCCCAGGTTTCCTAACCGGGATGCAAACTTCTTCTAGCTGTGAGGTGCTAACCACCGATCCACCATGCAGCCCATTACAGTCATGTTTTCTATTCGTACTTTAAAAAAAATACTCGTGCAGCTTTAAACCTGCATTAATAGATTTTTTTTTATTTTTTAAATCCCCATCAGGGAGCTGTAAAGCACAACAATAACAATATTTTCTTAAAGCTCTGGGATGGAGAAAACAGCAAGTGAGCAGTGAGACCGATTCAGAGGAGGAACTTTAAAGCCAGAAAGAGGAAAAGAAGCTGAAATACTCTGCAGAGCTGAGATGAACTGGAGATAAGGGGAAGTGAGCCAAAAATAGTGGCATCATACAGCACAGGAGCTACAGGAAAACATGCATAATCTGAACAATAAAACACACATTCTAGTTCACTGCCTAAAACTCAGGTGATAGTTTCCATATTTCTTCACAGAATCCTTAAAATAAAACACAAACTAAGTGACACAGACACACAGGAGGACTGTGTAATCTACTTGATGGGTACCTGAAGGCAGCATGGTAAAGTGAGAAAGGGGAAGCTTTTTGGTTAATCCAGCAAGGACAGTATGCAAATGTTCTGGTATTTTCCACAGACAACAAGAACATGATCACATGCTTCTATGAACACGGTTTACATTAAATAACATGTAGTAATATAATAATTTCATTCAGCCGAGGCAAGACAAAATACAATCAATCAGAAAAGTCCCTAAACAATCATCTCGTGGAGCTTTATTCTAAGGTGGCTGCTGTGCGTAAATGTCAAATGACGCACGAACCCCGCAGCTGCCCCGTTAAACATCTGGAGCTTGTGAGTGGAAAGAGGTGGGAGGGATGTAGAAGTTTGGATGTTTCTCACCCTGAACTCCTCTAGCGGTCTGTACGTTTTGCCCCCGTAGACACAGACTCTGGCCATAGCCTCACACACCGGGCAGCACGCCTTATACCTGATCCGCGTGCACCGGGGGTGGATGCGAGGACACTTGGGTCGGATGCACACCGGGCCGTCGACGGTGCACGTGCACGGACACGCCGAGGGGCTGGGGTAGTACACCTCTCCGATGCCGTACACGAACCCGTGGTCGTCGATGCACCACTTGCCCCGGTAGTCCCCGAACTCGTAGTCCAGGTCGGTTTTGGAGGAGTACTCCGCCGCCACCGCGAGTTCCACGACGCGCCCCGGAGCGCGCGGCAGCGGCAGGAGCAGCAACAGGGCGACGGGGAGGCAGCTGAGCCCGCGGTTCAGCATGGTGGACAGGTTCGGTACTCGACTCCGGCCGTGTGCGCGTCTGGTGCGCCGCTGCGCTCCGGTGAGCTTCTCCTCCCACTGCCAGGAGCGCCGGTGACGCCTATCCATGCGCGTCAGCCCGGACTGTCAGTGAGGAGCCAAGTCTTAATCTCAGCCTGTTGGCACAAGTTCAGCAACTTATGCTCAGCTTAGAACTGGGCCACTTGGTCTGCATTCTGAGGAGAGAAGTGATGTCAAGAACAACGGTAGTCTGCCTTGTTTATGCGCAGACAAAGGATGCTGCTGGTGACACAACACGGCTCCAAAAAACAACACATGAGTAAAACATAGAAAAAACAAAAACAAGCAAATATCAGACAAAACCCAAACAGCCAATAATTAGGGTCCGAGCACCCAAAAGGGTGCGAAGACCCTATTGGAACTGCT